AAACTTACACAAAAGAAGCATGTCAAAGAGTTCACACAGCCATGACTGCCTTTATTATGTAGTCTACAACAGACAAAATTTATTTAGGAGTAAAGACAGAAGCAGTGAAAAACAAAAACCAAAGAATGAGTCACATAAAATTTGGAATGGGGAAGACTTCTGGGGAGAGAAAGAATGCAATCAGGGAGGAGGGCATCAGGGCCTCTGGGCCATGGTAGTTCTCTTTGTTCACACAGTTGATGGGCCAAGAGTGTTCTTTCATCTGTACCCACTTTTTTCCATTTTTTGAATATATGTTCTACTCTACACTAAAAAGGCAAGACAAATTAGCAAAGAAACAAACAACACCAGAATACCACCAATTCTGAGATATTATCATGAATTTTAAGCCATTTCACACAGCCAATGGAAGAATAAGGAAGTTATCACACAAGTGAATCCAGTGCTTGACAACTGCTATGGGAGCCTTAACTAAATGTCAGTGAAGCTCCAATGTGGCACAATGAATTCCTTCTTCCTGCCCTCTCATTTTCCTTAATTCCTAACCTCCTAAATCTATACAAAAGTCACTTATTGTCTTAGCCTTTGTGCTGCTACCACAAAACATCAGAGGTTGTGCAGTTTATAAAGAGGAACTTATTTCCTCACAGTTCTGGAGGCTGAGAAGTCTCAAATCAAGATACCAGCCTCTGGGGCCAGCACTGTGGCATAGTGGGTAAGACCACCGCCTGCAGTGCCGGCATCCCATATGGGCACTGGTTTCAGTCCCAGCTGCTCTACTTCTGATCCAACTCTCTGCTGTGGCCTTGGAAAGCAGTGGATGATGGCCCAAGTGCTTGGGCCCCTGCATGGGAGACCTGGAGGTGATTCTGACTCCTGGCTTCAGATCAACTCAGCTCTGGCCATTGCAGCCATCTAGGGAGTGAACCAGCAGATGGGAGACCTCTCTCTCTCTCTGCCTCTCCTTCTCTCTGTGTGTAATTCTTTCAAATAAATAAATAAATCTTTAAAAAAAAAAAAAAGATACCAGCCTCTGATCATGGCCTTTTTGTTGCATCCACTCATGGCAGAAGAAGGGCAAGAGTGTCAACTCCCTGTCAGGCCCCTTTACAAGGGCACCTGATTCCACTCACAAGGAAGGAGCCCTACTTCCCAGTACTATCACATTGGA